TATGGTAGTCTTATGATTAAATCAGTATGTGAAATCTGAATGGGCAATATTATTACTCTCCTAAAAAATATTAGTGAGCTGAATACTTTTACCTTTTATAAAATGCTTGACAAATGGGTGACCCAACCCATTATCAGATAAATGCAGACTAGTAATAAATGAATTTTGCCATTCTTCAAATAGCTCTTATTTCAAGACATAGTTGGAGTGAAGCCTTTGACTTTGTTTCGTTTCTTACTCAACTTATTACTCCATATATGTTTATTTGGCACTCTGGGGTTCTTTGGTGGTTACTGAGGTAAAAGCCAAGGGCCCAATCCTTCTGGCCTAGAAGACACAGTCTTGCAAAAAGAAAGCACAACCATCAAATGTTGACTTGTCCAGAGCAATTTTCTCTTTCACTCAATGACATAGAGTCTATTTACTACTTGTAGATGCAGACACCAACTACTTTATACAGTTTATCCAAGGATATGAAATATATCCTTCCTTTAAAAAGAAGTGGGTATCTTTTTACCCCGTAATCCTCACCATAAGGTCACTCTAATACAACTTCAACTAGATTTCTTTTCAGAGGATATGTATTGAATTTCAGAGTTGCTTGATCACCCAGATCAAGCACATATTCTGTGCGCAAGTCTCCCACACCATTATTTAGGTTATGATCCAGCTGTGTGGGGCATAGGGAATCCACTGTCTCCTGAAGCAAATATTGCCTGCAAGAACTCTGTTCAAAAGTTCTTTCTAGTCTAGGTGGATGTCTGACCTCCCAGGGAAGCAGTGTGATATAGTATGATATGGTATAATATAGTTAAATGGCCGTGGGAATCAGAGCTGATTCATATCTGAGGTCTAGGCGGGTAACTTGGGGCAAGTTTAAACCTCAATTTTCTCATCTGTTCCATGGGGATAATGGCAATTTCAAGAGTTCACTGAGAAAATCAAGGGAAAGAGCAAATGTAAAACACCCAGAATGGTATCTTGCTCGTAGTAGGGCCTCAGGTTTTCTTCTGGAATTTTCTCCCTTTATGCTAATTCTTTCCACCTGAACTATACAGAACAAGTCTATATTTCTTTCCAACTCAACTGTTGTATCTTCCCTGTCTCTCTTCAGCTGTTCCTCAAATGACATGATTTGGTGGGTTTCTTCATCAAAGAAATGTCATAGAGTTTGTTTCTCTTGAAGAGTGATGCCTAGAAGCAACACAATGCTTGAGAAATAGTCTGATTAGGATAAAATGGGCCGTCACCTCCCATTAATGCATCTTAAGGTCAGAAGAATTTGTTTCTTTGCTTCTTCCGTTTTTGGGGCAGCCACATCATGCATTTGGTGAGAATAATGTGAAAATAGTATCCACAATATCAGATATTTTATTTTTTAGAATTTTGATGTAACTTGTATCTGTTCTGTGTATAAGGAAATATCTCACTATATACATAGAGTAGAAGTCGTTAGGGTGAATTCTTCTTTGTGTTAAGGTATAGTCAAAATCTTTTTTTTGCTTTTGTCGTGCCTGGTTTTTTAAAGTACTTTATATTCTTTTCCTTTTTTAATGGTATAACTTAAATATATATTTTCTAAAGATGTGCTTTCAACTTTTAGTCATGCTTATCTTCTGTTTGCCTAAAGAAAATGTGATTTGGCAATGGAGAATGGAATGAAAGCAAAGTCTGTGCATGCTTGAAGATCTATTGCTGAAGTAGCTTAACTTGACCTTGATTATTTTGAGATCTTTCAGTTATGTTCGCACATCTCTTAATATAGAGAGGCACAGATTACTGGATTGGACAAAGGATAATTCTCACTCCATTATGAATTAAGACTATTAAACACTTCACATATAACTAGTTTTGTATGTGGAGATAAATATGAATACGTGTGTTTATTTTACCCATACTGGTGATCAGCGGCATTGATTTATATAGAGGGAGTTATAGATGTAAAAAGCATAGTTACCTGAGAAAGTGTGCAGTTTGAGACATTCTCTTTTTGAGATGAAATGATATAGGTTATTTTGTTTGATTAAACTCTTTTTTACATTGTTATCATAATCTTTGAATTTGTTTGACCAGATTCTTTTCAATGAGACTACCAAAAAGCTCTAAGAAATGTCTGTGCCTTATAGTTCTGAACCTAACCTATAAATTGGCAATAAGAGACTTGTAAAACTTATATATGAGGTCTGCATAGTGTTAATGTTTGAGATTTATTTCCCCCCAAAGGTTCATAAACAGTATTGACAAATATATTGCACACTGCAATTTTGACATGGTCATAATGTAAGATGGGAGGTTTGAAAAGTTTAAGTAAACATCTAAATTGAATTTGTTAGATATTCTGCAGCAAGAGTCCTGTTAGTCACTAGCATCAATTTGTTTTTATTGAGCATTTTCCAAAGAATAATACATGTCTCTTTTTAGAACCACATAAGAAAGCTGTTGCAAAATAAACCCAGAGTTCTTGTCTTTTCTGCCATCAGTTAGAGAGACTTCTCCATTTAAAGACTCACATCTATTTTCAATCATTAAAATACACTTTATTTTCCTAAAGTATGCAGTCTCTAAATGCCTTTCCAGAGCTCATTGAATTTGGGACTCGCTTTTGCAAAGTGATTTGCTGGTTGTTGACACTGTCTTTTACTGTCAAGGATCATCAATTTGGGCTAGTCTTTTTGTTTTTCATACATGCTTCCCATTTTGGGTTAAAAATAATGGATACCTGTTTTTGTAATTTATTTTATTTGCTGAGAAGTAATTAGCATTAGCTATGGCCAGACTCTACAGGGAATTGACAAGACATTTCTATATGGAGCTTACCTTTCAGTCAGTAAGATAATCACAAGCTACAGATGACTATGCTATGAAGTAATAAATACTCTCATAGTACTGTGTAACACAGTGCAGGGAACGTCCGGGCGAGGGGACAATAGCTTTCATGAATGATCGTGTAACATTCTCTCCCAATCAATCATGCAAAGCACAGAAATGGAAGATGTGTGTGGGAAGAGAGAAATATGTGAAAATAATTAAGTTTCTTGGAAAAGGTTTCAGTAACAACTATTCTAATTCTTGAGAATTATGACTTTTAAACAGATAACGAGGACATATTTTTTAGTTTGAATTATTCCTCATTCGAACTCTTACTCAATTATTCCTCCATCTTTAATTTTTATTAATACCAAACGTCTATAATTTTAAGCTCAGAGATGCCAATTTTCTTTTTACAGGGGGCCAAATCACAAGGTATTTGTGGAAATACGTGATGATTATGAACCCCACTTTTTAAAAATACAGAGTTGGGTGGGATTGGGAACACTTAAGTGATTTGTTTTTGTATCCAAAAATTTATTGAGCATCCACCCTATGCTGGTATTACATTAAATGGAGAGCAAAAAAAGAGATGGACTTTGCTATCGTGGAGCTCATAGTCTAATCATAAAATCCCTCCAGCATGAAATGTTTCTATTGAATTATCAACTCAGAAATACGCACTTAGACGTGTACTAATAAGACACATTTTGTGTAGAGCTATCACCAGAGTAAAAGAAGTTATATATATAGATATATATCTATATACATATCTATCTCAGGTTCTTTTTTTAATCCAGGCTTTTTGTTTGTTTGTTTACAAAGTTGTTCTTCAAGTTAATATCCCATAAAGGTTTTTTGTACCTTTGGTCTTCATGTATGAAAAAATGAGATTGTCTAGGTTGATATCTACAATAATAGTGTCCATCTCACCTCATGGTTTTCAAAAGTAAAGGATACTACATTAAATTTAAAACATCGAAATGATGTCTCCAAGTCAGGCCATGATGAAACAGGCTATGGAATTATCAGTTTGATGTTTTCTTGGTTCGGGATGATTTATGCAGCTATTAATTAGCTGACATTCATTCTGAGCGGAGTATTGAAACAGACAATGGTCTGATTAGGTATCCCGTCAAAATATATGGTGTGCGGGGTTGTTTTGTGATCTGCAGATCTCAGATTATTTTCCTCCAGATGATAACTTGTTTAATGAGAGATTACCCCAGTAGCAATGAGAGAGGTGTTGCTCAAGGTTTTTTAAACAGCCCCAGATCCCACAGAGGTGAAAGGAGAGTTGGTTGGAGGGGTCGAGAACCTGGCCCTCTTGCTTCCTCCAACGCCCCTCCCACCCACCCCTCCCAGCTCTCCAGACACAGAACAACTGATGGCGGGGACAGGGAGTGTCCAGGCCTCTGGTGCTAGCATTTCAAATGGCGTATTATGTACTGGCCTTCTTTAAAAAGGTATTTTTCTCTTATCGTGAGGAAAAAGGAAAATCTTCCGTGACAGCTTTCAGTTGTATTCAATAAGCAGGTGAAACACTGAAACCCATCTTATCACTGAATTGCTTACGAATTGAAAGTAAAGCAAGATCAGAGTATAACCAGCAAACCATTATGGATTTGCTGCTTTCTTTTTCCTTTTCTTTTTCTTTCTCTTTCTTTCTTTCTTTTTCTTTCTTTCTTTCTTTCTTTCTTTCTTTCTTTCTTTCTTTCTTTCTTTCTTTCTTTCTTTCTTTCT